ATGCTGCTGTTGTCTATGCTGCTATTGTCTATGCTGCTGTTGTCTATGCTGTTGTTCTCTATGCTGATGTTGTCTATGCTGCTGCTGTCTATGCTGCTGTTGTCTATGCTGATGTTGTCTATGCTGCTGTTGTCTATGCTGTTGTCTATGCTGCTGTTGTCTATGCTGATGTTGTCTATGCTGATGTTGTCTATGCTGTTGTCTATGCTGCTGTTGTCTATGCTGATGTTGTCTATGCTGTTGTCTATGCTGATGTTGTCTATGCTGATGTTGTCTATGCTGTTGTCTATGCTGCTGTTGTCTATGCTGTTGTCTATGCTGCTGTTGTCTATGCTGTTGTCTATGCTGCTGTTGTCTATGCTGCTGTTGTCTATGCTGCTGTTGTCTATACTGTTGTCTATGCTGCTGTTGTCTATGCTGTTGTCTATGCTGTTGTTGTCTATACTGTTGTCTATGCTGATGTTGTCTATGCTGATGTTGTCTATGCTGTTGTCTATGCTGTTGTCTATGCTGATGTTGTCTATGCTGTTGTCTATGCTGCTGTTGTCTATGCTGCTGTTGTCTATGCTGTTGTCTATGCTGCTGTTGTCTATGCTGTTGTCTATCCTGCTGTTGTCTATGCTGTTGTCTATGCTGTTGTCTATGCTGTTGTTGTCTATGCTGTTGTTGTCTATATTGTTGTCTATGCTGCTGTCTATCCTGCTGTCTATACTGTTGTCTATGCTGTTGTCTATGCTGCTGTTGTCTATGCTGCTGTTGTCTATGCTGCTGTTGTCTATACTGTTGTCTATGCTGCTGTTGTCTATGCTGCTGTTGTCTATGCTGTTGTCTATCCTGCTGTTGTCTATGCTGTTGTCTATACTGTTGTCTATGCTGCTGTTGTCTATGCTGCTGTTGTCTATGCTGTTGTCTATGCTGCTGTTGTCTATGCTGCTGTTGTCTATGCTGCTGTTGTCTATGTTGCTGTTGTCTATACTGTTGTCTATGCTGATGTTGTCTATGCTACTGTTGTCTAAGCTGTTGTCTATGCTGCTGTTGTCTATGCTGATGTTGTCTATGCTGTTGTCTATGCTGCTGTCTATGCTGCTGTTGTCTATGTTGTTGTCTATGCTGCTGTTGTCTATGCTGTTGTCAATGCTGTTGTCTATGCTGTTGTCTATACTGTTGTCTATGTTGTTGTCTATGCTGCTGTTGTCTATGCTGCTGTTGTCTATACTGTTGTCTATGCTGCTGTTGTCTATGTTGTTGTCTATGCTGCTGTTGTCTATGCTGTTGTCAATGCTGTTGTCTATGCTGTTGTCTATACTGTTGTCTATGCTGTTGTCTATGCTGATGTTGTCTATGCTGCTGTTGTCTATGCTGCTGTCTATGCTGCTGTCTATGCTGCTGTTGTCTATGTTGTTGTCTATGCTGTTGTTGTCTATGCTGTTGTCTATGCTGCTGTTGTCTATGCTGCTGTTGTCTATGCTGCTGTTGTATATGCTGTTGTCTATGCTGTTGTCTATGCTGCTGTTGTCTATGCTGCTGTTGTCTATGCTGATGTTGTCTATGCTGTTGTCTATGCTGCTGTTGTCTATGCTGATGTTGTCTATGCTGTTGTCTATGCTGATGTTGTCTATGCTGATGTTGTCTATGCTGTTGTCTATGCTGCTGTTGTCTATGCTGTTGTCTATGCTGCTGTTGTCTATGCTGTTGTCTATGCTGCTGTTGTCTATGCTGATGTTGTCTATGCTGTTGTCTATGCTGTTGTTGTCTATGCTGTTGTCTATGCTGCTGTTGTCTATGCTGCTGTTGTCTATGCTGCTGTTGTCTATGCTGCTGTTGTCTATGCTGTTGTCTATGCTGCTGTTGTCTATGCTGATGTTGTCTATGCTGTTGTCTATGCTGATGTTGTCTATGCTGTTGTCTATGCTGTTGTTGTCTATGCTGTTGTCTATGCTGCTGTTGTCTATGCTGCTGTTGTCTATGCTGCTGTTGTCTATGCTGATGTTGTCTATGCTGTTGTCTATGCTGCTGTTGTCTATGCTGATGTTGTCTATGCTGTTGTCTATGCTGCTGTTGTCTATGCTGTTGTCTATGCTGCTGTTGTCTATGCTGATGTTGTCTATGCTGTTGTCTATGCTGCTGTTGTCTATGCTGCTGTTGTCTATGCTGCTGTTGTCTATGCTGTTGTCTATGCTGATGTTGTCTATGCTGCTGTTGTCTATGCTGTTGTCTATCCTGCTGTTGTCTATTTTGCTGTTGTCTATACTGTTGTCTATGCTGTTGTCTATGCTGTTGTTGTCTATGCTGTTGTCTATGCTGTTGTCTATGCTGATGTTGTCTATGCTGTTGTCTATGCTGCTGTTGTCTATGCTGATGTTGTCTATGCTGTTGTCTATGCTGCTGTTGTCTATGCTGATGTTGTCTATGCTGTTGTCTATGCTGATGTTGTCTATGCTGTTGTTGTCTATGCTGTTGTCTATGCTGTTGTTGTCTATGCTGATGTTGTCTATGCTGTTGTCTATGCTGCTGTTGTCTATGCTGTTGTTGTCTATGCTGTTGTCTATGCTGTTGTCTATGCTGCTGTTGTCTATGCTGATGTTGTCTATGCTGTTGTCTATGCTGATGTTGTCTATACTGTTGTCTATACTGCTGTTGTCTATGCTGTTGTCTATGCTGTTGTCTATGCTGTTGTTGTCTATGCTGTTGTCTATGCTGTTGTCTATGCTGCTGTTGTCTATGCTGATGTTGTCTATGCTGTTGTCTATGCTGCTGTTGTCTATGCTGTTGTCTATGCTGGTGTTGTCTATGCTGTTGTCTATGCTGTTGTCTATGCTGATGTTGTCTATGCTGATGTTGTCTATGTTGCTGTTGTCTATGCTGCTGTTGTCTATGCTGCTGTTGTCTATGCTGTTGGTGTCTATGCTGATGTTGTCTATGCTGATGTTGTCTATGCTGATGTTGTCTATGCTGCTGTTGTCTATGTTGTTGTTGTCTATGCTGCTGTCTATGCTGCTGTTGTCTATGCTGATGTTGTCTATGCTGCTGTTGTCTATGCTGTTGTCTATGCTGATGTTGTCTATGCTGCTGTTGTCTATGCTGATGTTGTCTATGCTGTTGTTGTCTATGCTGCTGTTGTCTATGCTGTTGTCTATGCTGTTGTCTATGCTGCTGTTGTCTATGCTGTTGTCTATGCTGCTGTTGTCTATGCTGTTGTCTATGCTGTTGTCTATGCTGCTGTTGTCTATGCTGCTGTTGTCTATGCTGCTGTTGTCTATGCTGCTGTTGTCTATGCTGTTGTCTATGCTGCTGTTGTCTATGCTGATGTTGTCTATGCTGTTGTCTATGCTGATGTTGTCTATGCTGTTGTCTATGCTGTTGTTGTCTATGCTGTTGTCTATGCTGCTGTTGTCTATGCTGCTGTTGTCTATGCTGCTGTTGTCTATGCTGATGTTGTCTATGCTGTTGTCTATGCTGCTGTTGTCTATGCTGATGTTGTCTATGCTGTTGTCTATGCTGCTGTTGTCTATGCTGTTGTCTATGCTGCTGTTGTCTATGCTGATGTTGTCTATGCTGTTGTCTATGCTGCTGTTGTCTATGCTGCTGTTGTCTATGCTGCTGTTGTCTATGCTGTTGTCTATGCTGATGTTGTCTATGCTGCTGTTGTCTATGCTGTTGTCTATCCTGCTGTTGTCTATTTTGCTGTTGTCTATACTGTTGTCTATGCTGTTGTCTATGCTGTTGTTGTCTATGCTGTTGTCTATGCTGTTGTCTATGCTGATGTTGTCTATGCTGTTGTCTATGCTGCTGTTGTCTATGCTGATGTTGTCTATGCTGTTGTCTATGCTGCTGTTGTCTATGCTGATGTTGTCTATGCTGTTGTCTATGCTGATGTTGTCTATGCTGTTGTTGTCTATGCTGTTGTCTATGCTGTTGTTGTCTATGCTGATGTTGTCTATGCTGTTGTCTATGCTGCTGTTGTCTATGCTGTTGTTGTCTATGCTGTTGTCTATGCTGTTGTCTATGCTGCTGTTGTCTATGCTGATGTTGTCTATGCTGTTGTCTATGCTGATGTTGTCTATACTGTTGTCTATACTGCTGTTGTCTATGCTGTTGTCTATGCTGTTGTCTATGCTGTTGTTGTCTATGCTGTTGTCTATGCTGTTGTCTATGCTGCTGTTGTCTATGCTGATGTTGTCTATGCTGTTGTCTATGCTGCTGTTGTCTATGCTGTTGTCTATGCTGGTGTTGTCTATGCTGTTGTCTATGCTGTTGTCTATGCTGATGTTGTCTATGCTGATGTTGTCTATGTTGCTGTTGTCTATGCTGCTGTTGTCTATGCTGCTGTTGTCTATGCTGTTGGTGTCTATGCTGATGTTGTCTATGCTGATGTTGTCTATGCTGATGTTGTCTATGCTGCTGTTGTCTATGTTGTTGTTGTCTATGCTGCTGTCTATGCTGCTGTTGTCTATGCTGATGTTGTCTATGCTGCTGTTGTCTATGCTGTTGTCTATGCTGATGTTGTCTATGCTGCTGTTGTCTATGCTGATGTTGTCTATGCTGTTGTTGTCTATGCTGCTGTTGTCTATGCTGTTGTCTATGCTGTTGTCTATGCTGCTGTTGTCTATGCTGTTGTCTATGCTGCTGTTGTCTATGCTGTTGTCTATGCTGTTGTCTATGCTGCTGTTGTCTATGCTGTTGTCTATGCTGCTGTTGTCTATGCTGATGTTGTCTATGCTGTTGTCTATGCTGTTGTCTATGCTGCTGTTGTCTATGCTGTTGTCTATGCTGCTGTTGTCTATGCTGTTGTCTATGCTGTTGTCTATGCTGCTGTTGTCTATGCTGTTGTCTATGCTGTTGTCTATGCTGCTGTTGTCTATGCTGCTGTTGTCTATGCTGCTGTTGTCTATGCTGCTGTTGTCTATGTTGTTGTCTATGCTGATGTTGTCTATGCTGTTGTCTATGCTGTTGGTGTCTGTGATCTACATTACTTTACATCCTGTCTCCTCTTGTTCCAGATTCGTCAGTGGCCATCAATTTTGGCGGCTGTTTCCCTCCCTCCAGCACAGTCCTGCTCTCATCTGGGCAGACGACCCCGCTCTCACAGCTTCGTGCTGGGGACAGTGTGCTCAGCATGGATGCAGGCGGCCATCTTGTTTACAGTGACGTCATCGCCTTCCTAGACCGCAGTACAGAGCGCGTGGCGACCTACTACACCCTGACAACATCTTCAGGCAGGGGCGTCACCCTCACATCCAAGCACCTCATCTATGTCACACACCACAGTGACTCACTGACTCTTAACGACACAAATAAAACTATTTATAGAACGAGGGAAGCGTCAGAACGACCTCGGCTAGCCTACGCAGAAGAAGTTCGTGTGGGCCAGTACATATTTCTTGTCACAGACTCTACCTCAACTGCTGGTAGCTCACCTTCCGGTGACTCGCCTGAAAATGTGTCACCATCCATCTCTCCTGTGAGGCCCCCGGTACACGTCACGGTTCCCGAGCAAGTGGTGGCCATACAGATCCGCGCCATCAGAGGCGTGTACGCCCCCCTCACCCAGCTGGGCACCATCGTGGTGGACGGCTACGTCACGTCCTGTTACGCCTTTCTAAAAGATGTGCAGTTGGCGCACACAGCGCTAGCGCCATTGCGAGGCTATCACGTGATACAGAAATATATAGGACATTGGCTGGAATCTATTTTCTCCGATCTGAATGTGTGGTCGCCGTCGTCTGCTAGCAGTAGCCAGACGAACATCACGAGCCACGAGACGACCCAAGACGGGGCGCATTGGTTCGCCCAATGCTTGTACACTATCGCAGTCCATTTGCTTGGAATGGATTTATTCATTTCGCTTTAAGTGTCAAAAAATACTTAAAGTACGACATGTATTTTTTTTTAAAGTTTGAAAAGTTTAATATTTTATTTGAAGTATGAAAAGTTAAATATTTCACTTAATGTATAAAACGTTCAATAGCTCGTTTTAAGTATGAGAACTTTATTATTTTACTTAAATTATGAAACGTTGAATATTTCAATTAAATTATGAAAAGTGAAATATTTTATTTAAGTTATAAAACGTTGAATATTTCAGTTAAATTATGAAAAGTTCAATATTTTATTTAAGTTATAAAACGTTCAATGTTTCAGTTAAATTATGAAAAGAGAAATATTTTATTTAAGTTATGAAACGTTGAATATTTGACCTAAGTTTAAAAGTTGAACATATTTTTCAGACTTCTGTTGCTTAATATTGATAACATTTATAATTGTCAGTTGTTTTAAATGTTATTTGTGATCTAAGATTAATGCAACGGAAGTTTTGCTGCTTTAGTTCTTTTGTATCAAATATTTGATGATGTCATTCAATTTCCTTAAGTAAAAAAAAGTAAAATTCGTTATAGTAATAGCGACTTATACAGACCATGCATCCAACTTAATTAGCGACTTACACAGACTGTGCATCCAACTTAATTAGCGACTTAATTAGCAACTTATATAGACCATACATACAACTTAATTAGTGACTTAATTAGCGACTTACACAGACCGTGCATCCAACTTAATTAGCGACTTAATTAACGACTTACACAGACATTGAATCCAACTTAATTAGTGATATTCTTTATTTACTTATGCATCCAATGAAAAAATATCTAGGCTTAGGCTTTCAATGATATTGTACTGTGAGAAAGAATAAAATTTATCCAATTATTATTGTAAACACATTCAGAAATTTGTCTTTCGGGTTTAAGTTTTACAAAACAAAAATCACATTCGTTTATTAACTTACATTTTGTTTGCTTATACAACAATTTGGTAATGTTCATTTCGATTATATGTTGAGCTAAATTATTGTAAAAAAAAAACTTTTGAGTTCGAAGACTGTATTGAACTTACAGCTTGCAATACTGGCTGTGCGTCTTACACTGTGTATATATTTACATATCAACACAAACGATGTCTATATTCTTACATAATGAATTTTGTGTCTAACTAGATGAAGTGTGTTCATGTGGACACGTCATACTTACAGCCTACACATACATGTCATGTATTGACAATATTTGAATGCGTATTGACATATGAATTCAGCTTTTGCTATGTTTATTTTTAGTTCATACCGTCACGTGACTATGCGAGTCATCTCTGAATTGTTTAGAGAGTCTAGATATCAGCAGACGGACAATTTACACTATAAATATTCGCTACAATGCAATAGAAATAAATAAATATTCTACTTAAAATCTAATTTACTTTTTGTTCACCTAAAATAGATCACGTTCCGTGCTGAAAGTCGGAAAACAAAAACGATAAATAATTGAAATGTTGGCGTATCGAAGCGGAACAATTTGACAGTAATATCGATTTGAGTAAAAATGACTGGTTTCAATATGGGACATTATGACTAGTAAAGATATTAAAATCGATTGCTGTTTGACTACCTCATGATAAATGTTTTGCCATTAGCCTGGAGTCATGTATCGTTGATTGCTGTCAGTGACATGCTGTCAGTGACATGCTGTCAGTGACAGCACTCGAACAGGCTGTACTCCTCTTTCATCACATCCATTTCATTACACGTCACACAACCAACCCCCCCTCCCACACCCAACCAAAACACTCACTCCAACCTTACAGTACCCCCCCCCCCCTGCACACCCCTTTCTCTCACGCTTCAAACAACACCCCCGCACACACCGTCACCTAGCTTCCCCCCCCCCCATTCACAGCCAAGACCGCTCACCACATTTCTTTATAGCCATCCTATTCGTAGATCACCTATTCAAATTGCTGACAAAACTTTAGTACAGATCACTAAATCAAGTGAATTAAAATAAACAGCAATGTAATGCTAATTACATAATATAGAATAATCATTTTGTACTTCAGAATATTTTTGTTTTTTGTTTATTTGGCTTTAAAGATATCTACAAGTGACAGAACAGTTGAGTCTGAGATTTTGTTAGTTTAGCAACCCGGACATTTTGTTAGTTTAGCAACCCGGACATTTTGTTAGTTTAGCAACCCGGACATTCTGTTAGTTTAGCAACCCGGACATTTTGTTAGTTTAGCAACCCGGACATTTTGTTAGTTTAGCAACCCGGACATTTTGTTAGTTTAGCAACCCGGACATTTTGTTAGTTTAGCAACCCGGACATTTTGTTAGTTCTGAAGTAATCAGGATCTGTGAAAGCTGAATACAACCAAATATTCTTCACAAGCCTCCACATTGTCATAAATTCATGCCATACCAATGTTGGCATATATATATATATATATATATATATATATATATATATATATATATATATATATATATATATATATATATATATATATATATATAATATCCTTATTTATCAATGAATGGAAATGTAGCTAGACAACATTCAAAGCATTTGTGTTTCTATTCCTATACATTTTACTGTTTTACCAACAACAAATGAAACTAAAATATTAATCTTGCCACGTGACAACCAACACCAACCATATTTTTTTATTGGCAACCTCCATCTTAGCCTACTGAAGAAAGGGCAAACTCCATCTTAGCCTACTGAAGTATTGGCAAACTCCATCTTAGCCTACTGAAGTATTGGCAAACTTCATCTTAGCCTACTGAAGTAAGGGCAAACTCCATCTTAGCCTACTGACGTAAGGGCAAACTCCATCTTAGCCTACTGAAGTATTGGCAAACTCCATCTTAGCCTACTGAAGTATTGGCAAACTTCATCTTAGCCTACTGAAGTAAGGGCAAACTCCATCTTAGCCTACTGACGTAAGGGCAAACTCCATCTTAGCCTACTGAAGTATTGGCAACCTCCATCTTAGCCTACTGAAGTAAGGGCAGACTCCATCTTAGTCAACAAAAGTGTTATACGAACAAGTGGCAGGAAAACTGTAGCATTTGTTGTAAAGAATGGAACTTTAACTTTTATAAGTCAATTACTTATTTTAACAATTGTAAAAAAAAAGTAGATGTCATCATTTTAAGTTGTCTTTTTCAATTTTTGCATTGATAATTAATTCACTCTACATTTATAAATTCGAATCTTATTTTACCGAAAATGGATAGCCAATTTAGAGTCATAAAAATTTGTGTTGTGTGTAGATCTTTTTTTTTTTTACAATTTACAGTTAAATCTTTAATTGTGTGTAGATCTATATTTTTACAATTATTTGAATGGGTTTCTTTTTTTCATATCTGATATTAAACGTGTAACATTTCTCTTCCCCCCCCCCCCCCCTTTATATTCCCCTTTCATTGATTTAGTCTATAGCGAACTCTTGCTAATGCATTATGCGTCTAGATTTTTTTGAAAAGGAAATATAATTAACGCAAGACGTGTAGGCCTATTTTAGTATTTATTGTCATTTATTATTTATCTAGCCAACCTAAAATTAAAATTTGCATTAAAATAATATATAGTAGTATAGTATAGGGCCTATAGAGGGGTTGTTTAATTTATTGATTTTCTTTTAATTTTATAATTATATTTTATAATTATTATTTTATTATGTTTAGTATTTAATAACTAATACACGGGAATTCGATGTACGCTATTCAGCTTATGTTACAGCAGTTTTAAATGATACAAATGTAATATTTTGTCTTCCAAGTTCAATTTTCCTTTAATTTGTACTGTCAAATAATGTTTATTTTCCTTTAGTTTGTACTGTCAAATAATGTTTATTTTTCTTTAGATTGTACTGTCAACTAATGTTTATTTTCCTTTAATTTGTACTGTCAAATAATGTTTATTTTCCTTTAGTTTGTACTGTCAAATAATGTTTATTTTCCTTTAGTTTGTACTGTCAACTAATGTTTATTTTCCTTTAGATTGTCCTGTCAAATAATGTTTATTTTCCTTTAGATTGTACTGTCAAATAATGTTTATTTTTTCTTTAGATTGTACTGTCAAATAATGTTTATTTTTTTTTTAGATCTTACTGTAAAATAATGTTTATTTTCCTTTAGATTGTACTGTCAAATAATGTTTATTTTCCTTTAGATTGTACTGTCCTGTCAAATAATGTTTATTTTCCTTTAGATTGTGTGTACTGTCACCTATGTCTTGATTGCTCTTATAATTGCTGGTATAGACAAAACGAGGCCATAATAAAATAAATTCTAATTTTTTTAAACATCTTCAGTATTTCTTTCATTTTTTTTCCTGCCTTTAAAACAAAAAAGCTTTTAATCCAATACTATGTGATAAGTAGGTGGTGACTCCCAGAGGCGTCGCGAGGGGGGGGGGCGACGCTTCGGGAGATATCATTGGGGGGAGGGGGTAACACCAAGAAAAAAATATTGCAATATAAATAGTATAAATATGTTTTTGTCAGTTCAATGAATGGTTAATTAGAGTTAAAAAGTATTTTAAGTACATAATGACTATCCCGACAAGGAAGGGGGGGGAGGGGAACACCATGACGTAAACATACAAACTATAGAGAAAACAATGCTACATCCAACTGTATTGACTTCCAACTATAGATAAACATCATTAGTCTAAAATGTGAACACTTAAAAGCTTAAACCGGATAAGGGGGGGGGGGGGGGGGGGGGGGGAGGGTGAAACCAACTGCAAACTTTACAGAGCAAAAAAAAAAAGGAGGGGGCAGCACCAGGTAACGCCACTATTGACGCCTACACATTCATTTGTGGTCCCAGAGGCGTATACAGTTTTTCGGGTTAGGGGAGAGGGGAAAGAGAGTCGAGAAAAATTATATATATAGTCATGAAACTCTATTGTAAATTTTTAAAATTTAAAGTAATGAAAAAAAATGCATGAATTGATAAAGTGCAATATGGAAGGTAAAACACGGATATTTTAAATACTGCCTTGTATTTATTTTATACACTAGACGTACTTTTTACTAATTATTAATCTAACTTTCTGTTTTCGGACAAACTGGTTTTTTTTTATAGTCACTCACTTAATCAGGCGCATCCGCCGGCGCTTGTACAGGGTGCTATTTGGCTAAACTGTGAGCACTATACGTTTACGTTTGCATTTAAGTTGTGTTTATGTTATGAGTGTTGTGTTTGTTTTTCCGTTTGTGTTTTTTTACGTTATATATATATATATATATATATATATATATATATATATATATATATATATATATATATATACTAGCTGCATACCCGTGCTCCGCCACGGTAAATCTTTTTTAATTGTACCAACTTGGGAACAGAACAAAACTAAACACAACACAAACACAAAACAAACACAAAAGAAAATACAAACACAAAATAAAACACAAAGCAAAAACAAACGAAAACATAAGTTCAACACACAACCACAAAAGAAAAAAAACTCAAATAAAAACACAAATGAAAACACCAACGCAATGCAAACATAGACGTAAAAAAACACAAACGGAAAAACAAACACAACACTCATAACATAAACACAACTTAAATGCAAACGTAAACGTATAGTGCTCACAGTTTAGCGAAATAGCACCCTGTACAAGCGCCAGCGGATGCGCCTGATTAAGTGAGTGACTATAAAAAAAACCAGTTTGTCCGAAAACGGAAAGTTAGATTAATAATTAGTAAAAAAGTACGTCTAGTGTATAAAATAAATACAAGGCAGTATTTAAAATATCCGTGTTTTACCTTCCATATTGCACTTTATCAATTCATGCAATTTTTTTTCAGTACTTTAAATTTTTAAAATGTATAATAGAGTTTCATGACTAAAACCATTGCGCACCTAATGAACGTAATGACACGTCTATAACAGTGCGGAATAGTAGATTTAAAATTATAATTAGTAAACAGGACGTTTAGTGAATACAATAAATAAAAGACAGCCTTTTATCAATCCATGCTAATTATAATATTCCAACAATAATGTCCTCTTGCAATAATATCCTCTGCAGATTTGCATACACATTTTGCTAATTATTCCAACAATAATTCCCTCTTATGGATTTTGCATTAGCATGAGTTGAATTTATTTTTAGATTACCTCCCTTGGCAAAATGACAAAACATTTTAATTAATTAATTCAAGCCTACTATTATTAAAATTTATCCATTTTTTCTAGGAATCAAAACAAAAATGATATTTGACATTGATCCGTTTAATATGTTTTAGATATTTGCGTGTATTTAATCTTTTCTTTACGTTATACGAAAGAGTAAAAACTGTAGCAACTATAAAGTAAATTTTAGGTGTTATATAAACAAACCCTACTCTATATATAAAGCAATGTATGTCTGTGTGTGTGTCCTTTATGCATTACTACACCTCTCATCACATCGCCGTGAAACTTTGGGAAGTTGTTGAGAATATTCCTGGGGAGGTTTCTGCGGGAAAAAAAAAGTCAAATTCGCAGGGGTGGCGCCCCGGCAGAGCGCGATTTGTTTTTCTCTATATACGGTATATAAAAATAAAAAGTCGATTTTGGTTTGACATCGTTCATCTGATAGCCATGAGACTTTGGGGAGTTCATAATAACACTCTAAGGAAGGGTTCTGTAAAAAAATATTTTTTTTCTATTTCGCAAGGGCGGCGCCACGGGAGGGTGCGATTTTCCTCTATATACGGTATATAAAAAAAAATAAAAGTGAATTGCAGT